CTCCCTCCTCCCTCCTCCCTCCTCCCTCCTCCCTCCTAGCACTGATGATGTTCCCTAGTTGGGCCATGAAACGTCTGAAAAGAAAACCGCCAACATCAGAGGAGACCAAGGACCCCGCAGTCCTCCCCCTCCTCCTCCAACATGAAACTTATTTTGCTTCCCCCCACCCCCCAGTCTGACAGGCGTCACTCACTGGCCTTCAGCATCCTGAACACCCCGAAGAAACTGGGGAACAGCCTCTTGCGCCGTGGGGCCAATCGGAAGGTGACTCCCAAGAATTCCCCTCGGAGCGGCAGCCGGAGGTCTCCACGGAACGCCGCGCCCTCGAAGGGCAAGGTGAGCGGGTGGGAGGGAGCCCCAGGTGGCCACGACTGGCGTGCGCCCCCCCACCCCTGTAGCACCCCACATGCCCACCCCTCCCCTCCCCCTGCCTCCCCCACCCCAGATCTGAGCAGAAGGCCCTTTCAAGCCCCACTTGTGTGGGTCCGTGTGTTTAATTGACACCCTAATGATACATGCAGTCCTCGACCTACGGCAGTTCACTTACTAACTGCTCAAAGTTATGGCAGAGTCCCTGGAGCCACTTACAGGGTCCCGCGGTCACATGACTGTGATTGATGGGTGGATTTCCCGTTTCTGGCTTTGGGGTCTCTGGAAGAAGAAGAAAAAGGAAGGCCATAAAATCAAAATGTTCTCCTGATGAGCTGCTTAAGGACCAGACTTACAACCATGTGTACAGTCGTAAGTCGAGGACTCCCTGTACTGAAAGCAAAAGGGGGGAGGGGGAGGCCTCTCTGTCGGTGTAGAGAAGGATCTTGATTTTGGGGGGGGGGGGTGTTCAGCCCTTCCCCAACGGCAAGAGAGGCCCAACCGGCCCTGATTCCCAAACGGGGTGAGGCTCTTTGTCCCCCTCCCCACACTGGGCCTGTGGACCGGAGCCCCCCACCTCTCCCTGCCCTTCTCCCCCCCCCTCCCCAAATGGGGCCCTTCTGAGCCTCCTTTGCTTCCACAGGTCTCGGGGGCGGCCACACCAGGCAAGTGGTGTTGCATGCAGCCTTTCCTGTCTGGGCCTAGGGGAGACACACGGGGGTCCTCTCACCTCTCCCCCCCTCCCCCAAGTGGGGGGTGGTGGTTTCTGGATGGAAGCACTGGAGGGGGGGGTGCGCACACGGTATCTCACTCATCTGACACACGGCTGGCTGGCATGAGCGGATTCCCAGGCCTCTGCGCTGCTCCCGCCGGGAGTTTGGGGTTTTTTTTGGGGGGGGTGAGTAGGAGGATTTCCCCCAGGCTTGTCCGGCTTCTGGTGCCCTCCCCCTCCCTCCTCAGCCCTGCCAGCCCCCCAACTCCCCCTCCTCTTTCTCCCCTGCAGGCCAACTCCAAATCCCAGAAGGGGAAGTTCTAGCGGTCTTCTTCGCTCCGGCTGCCGGTTCAACCATCTTCCCTCTGTGCCCGGAGGAAAGGGAGGAGGGGGCCGCTGCCCCTCGGCCGCTGCCAGCCCCTGCGTCCCCCTGCAGCCCCTCCCCCTGCCTCAAGCAGGCCTAGGAGCTTGGCCTTCTCGCCTCCCTCCCTTTCCCAGCCTGGGTGGAGCAGGGAGACCTCCCATTCACAGGCTCTTGGGAGTGCAGGTGCCTTCCTTCTCCCCCTCTCCCTTCTTCCTTTTCCTCCTTTCTCCATTCCCCCTTTCACCCTGTGCCCCACGCCTTTCCTTTCCTGCTTTTCTCCTTCCTTCCTTCCTTCCTTCCTTCCTTCCTTTCTTTCTTTTCTTTCTTTCCTTCCTTCCTTCTTTCCTTCCTTCCTTCCGTTTCCTTTCTCCCTTCCCCCTTTCACCCTCTGCGCCACTCCTTTCCATCTTTTCTCCTTCCTTCCTTCTTTCTGTTTTTCCTTTCTTCCCTCCTTCCTTTCTTCCCCTCCTTTCTCCCTTCCCCCTTTCACCCTCTGTGCCACTCCTTTCCTTTCCTGCTTTTCTCCTTCCTTCCTTTCTTCCTTCCAATCTCCTTCTTTCCTTCCTTCCTTCTCCTCCTTTCTCCCTTCCCCCTTTCAGCCTCACCTTTCCTGCTTTTCTCCCTCCTCCTTTTCTTCCTTTCCCTTCCTTCCCTTCCTTCCTCTTTCGCCCTTCCCTCGCCCCACTCCTTCGGGACCACGCGGTTGGCATCCCGAGGCCTTTTGTTGGGAGGGGGGGCTCCTGCCGATGCCCCCCCCCCTGGCAGTCTTGTCCGTTCTCGGTCCCTTCTTCTGCTGGGAAGGCCAAGAGGTGAGGGGGGGGGTCCCCTCTTGTGCTCCTGCTTCCCACCCTTGGGCCTTCTGGAAGCACCCGGAGATCGTGCATCCCTGGCAGAGGATGGGGAGGGGGGGGGAGGGACCTCTGCCATTCCTTTCGGGAGGGGGGGGGAGGGACAGCACACGCCTCTCTTTCTGTCACAGCCTTACTTAGCGCCCTTGCTTCGTATCGCAATCCGTAGAGCCCAGGTGGGGGCCGGGGGAGGTTTCCAGGTGGGGCTGTTCCAGAAACCCCCCTGGAGCAGGGAGGCAGTCAGGGTGGGGGTGGCCCTGGCTGACAGATCGGAAAGGGGGGGGGGGGTCCTGGGCCAGGGCCGGCTGGGTCTGGAGAACAGTCCCAGCCCTCAACCGGAGACCCCCCCTCCCAAGTGGACGGTGAGAGGGAGACCCCGACGGAGGGAGGCTCCCGGGCTGAAAGGGGGGGCCGCCACCTGGGGTCTTCCCCTGCTTGCAACCCTCTACTACTCGCCTTTGTAGAGACTTTAGCAGGAAATGTGTCATTTTAAATAATGTTTCTACTTGTAAATAAATGGTATTTTTCTCCCAAGAGTGGCTGGAGTGAGGCTTTGCAGTCGGTCTCTCTCTCTCTCTCTCTGTGCCTGCTTAGAGGTCAGGACTTTGGGGAGGGGGGGACTTTCAGCCTCATAATCGCCTTCGGGGACTGGGCAGGGCTGACCTGCAGAGGAAGGCTGGCCAAAGAGCCCCTTTTCCTGCCCGTCCGACAACCCTCTCAAGGACCTTTCTGGGGTCTTGTACAAAGGGAGAAAAATCTCCTCCTGCAGGTGAAATCAAATCTGCAGGGAGAAAAAGGTGTTTGATTTTACACATTTGGGATTCCTGTGCGGAATTTAGAACGGAATGGGATGCAGAACACGGAACTTAGAAATGGAAATAAATAGAATTCTCTATTGGCCAAGTGTGGCAATTTGTCTCTGCTATAGAAGCTCACTGTGTACATATAAACAGCCAGGAATGGCTCATAAACCATAGTTTGCAATCGTAAGCAAAGAATTGATAAACCAAGACAAAGCATGGGGAAAAAAGTTCCTTCTTTTATAGCACGTGTGTCCAACCGTGGCAATTTTAAGACCTGTGGACTTCAGTTCCCAGAATCCCCCAGTCGGCTTTAAGGCTTGGACTTCCGTTCCATCGAAGTTGCTTTAATACACCTTTGATTTACAGGCTCAGAAATGCATCCAGGAGCCTCACCTGCATAATTGAAGGAGCTAAGAGATCTCAACAAAGCTTATTTGAGAATATTAAGGAAGAAATGAAGAACGTTAACTAGTTTTCTTTCACCGGCTTTAAGGCCTTGCGGGAGGCCTTGGTGAAGGAGCCAGCTTCCTTCTCAGGGGCTGACCTCCTCCGGGGCTGCCCAGGGACCCCCGGGGGTCTCCCTTTGACTTCTGGGTATGGAGTGTATTTTGCCCCAAGGGGAGATCCAGAAGTCAGCAGACTTAACAGCAACTTACAAACATGCCTTTCCCAAAGAGAGGGAAAAAAATTTTTTTGGGGGGGAAGAGACCTTTTAATGCAAATATTGTGGAATGTTGCCCGATATGGGTAGTCCTCGACTTACGACCTACCTGAAAAATGGGACTTACGACCGAATCAGAAGTTCCTGCAGTCCCCATTTCCCCCATCATCCTTGTCACATTTTCAGGACTGTTGGCAACATCCCAGAGTCAGTTTTATGACCGTTTTTTCCAAAAACCAGGATTTGGTTTTGAGGTTTTGGCCAAAGAGCAGCCTTGGCGAACGTCGGACTCACACTTGTGACCACTCTTCAAAAGAACCCCGTCTTACAACTCCAACCGTAGTAGGTGGGCTTCCTGTCGAGGACCCTCCGTAAAGATTTCTTCAGCCGGCAGCGCTCTCAAGTCCCACGGGGGGTCCAGGTGGGCAGGGGGAACCCCGGAGCCCCCCTGGGAAGGATGGGCAGAGGGGTTTCTCCCGGGGGAAGGCAGTAAGGAAAGCCCCCTCCCCACACTCCAGAACTGCCCTCTGTGCAACCCCTTAAGGGGGGGGTCTCCCTCTTCTCAGACCAGCCAAAGTCCTCGACTTACAACCACAATAGAGCCCACATTTTCTGCTGCTAAGTGAGACATCGGTTCAGTGCCCTATTTTACGACTTTTTGTTGCCACAGTTGTTAAATGAGTCGCTACAGTTCTTAAATTAGTGCCCCGGTTGTTAAGTGAATCTGGCTCGTCCGCTTGTCAGAAGGTCGCAAAAGGGGATCCCGTGGCCCTGGGACACTGCAGCCGTCATAAATATGGGTCTGAATTCTGATCTCATGACCACAGGAATGCTGCAACGGCCGTTAAGTGTGAAAAACATCCGTAAGTCACTTCTTTTCAATGCCGTTGTAACTTTGAATGGCCACTTAAGTGAACCGTCGTAAGTCGAGGATGACCTGCAGTGCAGGCATGGACACAAGAGCTGGGGGAGGGCTGCCGAGGGGGACTCCCTTTGCTCACGGAAATGCTGGTGTTGCTGGGAAATTGCAGCTTGTCCCCCCCTTTTGAGCCCTCCACCCCCGTCTCCCCCCAGCATGGAAAAAGGACAACATGGTGGCGCTTAGAATTCGGGGTTTTAATGAATTTTGTCGGTCGGAGAGGAAACATTTTTCAGAAACGGAGGGAGAAATTTCTCCCTTTGCAATCGGAGCCCTTCCGTTTCTCCGTAATTTTTCTTTCTTAAGACGGGGTGGAAGTCCGGCTCCTTCGGGCAGCCGCGTTAGTTAATTCGAGTTTCACACGGGCCAAGAGAAAAACTTCCAAGGCTTTGAATCTTCGGCTGCGTTTCCAGGAATCGGGTCCTCCCAGCTCAGCCTCAAGTTTTGTCCTGGCCGTTTTATTTCTCTATTAAATTCTTACGCTGCGCCATGAAGCGACTGGCCAACTTACAGATTGCAAAAAGTCGAGTAGAAAAATCATCAAAAACTATGCAAATTTTTAAAAAAATCCCCAAACTCTACAGAAACCCAGGATGAAGAGACCGGGGAGGGGGGGGAGGGGGGGCAACGGGGTCTCAGCCTGCTGATTTCTGCAAAATGCACTGGCAAAAATGCATAAATCGGGGTTTGGGGGAATGGGCTGGGGGGGGGCTTTGTGCCAAGGAGTTCTGCGTTGTGCGTGAGGATCCTCCGTTTAAAATCTTCAGAATATCAATTTTTGCTCATCTTTTTTTAAGATGAGAATTATTCCCCAATATTTCTAAGCCCGGAGACTCCAAATTTGGTGACTTTTAAGACTTGTTGACTTTAACTCCCGAATTCCTTGGTTGGGTTCACGGGAGGCCTGCAAGGAAAGAACCAGAACTCAGCACCCAGGACCCCACAGTCCTCCTCCTCCTCCTCCTCCTCCCTGCAAACCCCATTCCCTTCCCACACTGATGGTGTTCCCTAGTCAGGTCAGGAGAGGTCTGTAAGAAAACCACCCAGATCAGAGACCACCTGGGACCCCCCCGGATCAACCCTGAGCTACTAATATTTTGGCGGATGCTGGAATCCAAGCAAGAGGACCGGGAAGGGGGGGCGGAGCAGCCTAGATAAGAGATCAATGGGGGGAGGCATTGGGGTCATCGTAAGATGTTGGGTTGCTCGGCGCCCTCCAGTCCTGGGGAGGCTGGTTCTCGCCTGCCACCTCCTCCTCCTTGGAGGGGAGCGTTGGCTCCTTGTGAAGACGCAGAGGGCTCTCTTTCACCCAGAGGCCCATTTAATGGAAGGAGCACGATGGGGGTCTCGCCATCAATCAAGCCCCTGGATTAGGGCCCTGCATTGGCCACTTTTGGGGTCCCCTGTTTTGGGGGGTTCGCCAAAACTGAATCCCTGTGAGATCCTCAACCTCCGGGTCCCACGCGCCCTTCAGGTGAGCCATGAAATGTTGGCGTTCCTCACCTGGGGGTCCTCGCACTAATCCTGAGCAGCTTAACCTCCGCTCCTTTCGTACTTGAATGGCTCCACCGGATGGTCGCCCGAAATACGCCGGAGGGGTCAGTGATGAAGCAGTCGAAGGTGGTGCAGAGGTCCTGCGCCGTCAACGAGGAGAAGGTCAGCTTCCGGGTCAGCTGGCTGCCTTTCTCTCTGGGGACAAGGAGCAGAAGAGAAGATGGAGGAGGAGGAGGAGGGGGAGATAGCACAAACCCTGGCTTCTTCCCTGAGTCTCAGCTGACCACCCTTCCCTGGTCCTTGGCTCCCTCCAGAAGAGCCAGGCCCACAGCTTCCCCAGGCCCACTTTCCCTTCCCACCACTGTAGACCTGTTTCAGAATCGGAGGCGGAGGGGACCTTAGAGGTCTTCCAGTCCAACCCCCTGCTCAAGCCAGGAGAGCCTGTAACATTCCAGACTGAAGGCCGTCCGATCTCTTCTTAGAAACCTCCGGTGTTCGAGCACCCACAACCTCTGGAGGCAAGGAGTTCCACTGGTTAATTGCTCTGACTGGCAGGAAGTTTCTCTCTTGCTTCTCTCCTGGGTTCGTTTCCATCCTAAGTAGAAGTTCGATCTCTCCTGTTTGGGAAAAAGAGCCGGACTGCCTCTACTCACTCGGTGGCTTCCTCCTTCACCGTCCCGTTCGGGTACAGCTGGTCCACAAAAGTGCCGTTTGCCAGCCAGTACATGATGCCGCTCTCTGGGTAGGTGGTTGTGCCCACGCAGGGGACCTGGACCTTCTGCCCTGGGAGCCACAAGGGGAATGGGGACGTGGTTCACCCCTGGGGGAATGGCAGGTGCCCCCTTGGCCCCCACCACCCTCCACGGGGGGAAGAAGCAGGCGAGGGGTTCCTGCCAGGCTCCCACCCGCCCCACTCAGCGGCTCCCTCTGGATCTCATTGTACAGGTAGTCCTCGGCTTAGGACCACAATTGAGCCCCAAAACCCTGGCGTTAAGTGAGACATTAAGTCAGTTTTCCCCCATTTGGCGACCTTTCTTCCTCGGATATTAATCACTGCAGTTGACAAGTTATAAACCCTGTTGTTAAGTGAATCTGGCCTCCCCATTGACTTCGCCCATCAGAGGTTCGCATAAAGGGACCACGTGGCCCCGGGGACATGGCAACTGTCATAAGGACAAGTCAGTTGCCAAGTGTTTGAATTTTGATCACGTGGCCATGGGGTTCTAAGTCACCTTTTTCAGTGCTGTTATAACTTCAAATGGTCACTAAATGGACTTTTGTACATTGAGGACTACCGGTAGCTTGTCCCAGACTGCAACTCATCCACTTCCCCCCC